ACTCGTCAAAATAATAAATGAAATGAGAGACTAGAATGGACCTATAGATTTTTAAAAATCTATGACAGTGGAGAGCAGACATTAGGAAGTCAATGTCAAATTCTGTTTATATGCACCAGAGTAATTTGCATAAATGTTGCTTTTTTCTATAATTGAAATTGATTTCAGTACTTGATATTACTGAAGAGGAAAATATAATCATTTATTTTATGACACATTCCTGTGGTAGAATCTTCCCTTTAAGATGACATATAGTACAGATTCACAAGTTTTAGTCCTCAGGAAAAAGAGAAAGGTGGCTATGGTTGACAAGTGTCTTTGTGGGCAGGGTGTTAGCAGGTTGAGGTGGCCATGGGAGAAAGTTGTCTTGGGCACTGGCGGGGTTATCTTCAAGCAGCACTGGGAAATAAACAAAGTTCATTTTTGGAAACTGAAGTCTCTGGCTTTGTTCTTTGCTGTGTACCTCTCTCTCTCCTCTCCTCTGACCTTAAATAAAAGAACATGCTCTTCATGGTTTCAGGAGATGAGTATCCCAGTAGTTTCTCTCTCCAAGCCAATTTGGTAGTCATTCATACCAAGGTGAAAGTGATTACAAACAGCTAAATATCTTACTTCTTCTATAATGTAACTAGGAATTAAAAATAATACACAAGCATGAACAATGGACATGGACAACAAAGCTGGGGACAGGGCAGGGAGGGAGGGGGAGAGGGGAATCAGTGGGGGAAAAAGGAGAAACTTCTGTAACAAAAATAAATTAATTAATTAAAAAAAGTTATTTAAAATAAATAAGTAAAATAATTGTTGATAGATTAAAAAATAATAATACACAAGACCTCAGTGGAGAAAATTCTGAAGCACTATCAAAGTGTATAAAAAAATCTTAAGTAGGAGAGAAAGTAAATGCTTTTGGGTGGAATGTGTTCATATTAGAAAGATGTAAATTCCCCTCAAATTAATCTTTAAATGGAACGATAGCTGAATAAAGATTTCTGCTCCATTTTTTCCAAGAAACTTGACAAATTTATTACAAACTTATGTGAAATCTATATTAAAGTCCAAGAATAGCTAAGTCAGCCCTGAAAAAAGTAGAGCAAAGAGGGTAGACTTTCCTCTCCAGATATAAAGACACTCTTCAGTAATAAAAATATTATAAAATTGGCTCAAGAATAGCAAAAGAAAAAGAAATAAACCAATGCAACAAAATAGAGAGCTCAGAGATAGCTATTTATATATGGGAAACTCCATGATAAAGGACTCACTGTTTAGTAACTGTGTTGGAAAAGGTGGCTCACTATGTGGGGAAAATAGAACTGGCTACTCACTTTCCATCATAGACAAAGGCATCAAAGTTCTGAGTATGAAAGGTAAACTGTAGAGTAAATAAAAGAGAAGGTTGAAGAACATCCTTGTGACCTAGGGATAGATAGAGAGAGATTTTTTAAACAAAGCCTTGAAAGGTGCAAACCATAAAATGAAAAATAATGTCTTAAATATATCCAAATTAAGTTTTCTGTTCAACAAAGGACAAATAGATAAAGTCAATAGAACAAAAATTGGGAGAAAGGTTGTTATGCCTATGACCTAAAAGAGAGTCATTTATAAAAAGTGCAAGACACTCTTACAAATCAACAACAACAAAACAACAACAACAAAAACAGACCAAAGCCCACTGGAACAATGGGCAACTAATGTGAACAATCAACTCATAAAAGCGGTAAACCCAAATGTATAAAGAAAAATGTAAATTAGCACAATAATGAGATACCATTTATACTTCCAAGAGCTGGCACAATTCAAGCTGGATAATATCAAGTGCGGATAGGAATGTAGGGAAACAAGAACCTTTCTGCACTGACACGAGAGCGTGTATCTATGCTGCCTTTCTGGAGAGCAATCTGGCAGTATCTAGTAAAAGTAAATGAACTTATCCCTATGATCCAGTGGACCTACACCTTTGGAATATCTTTAGAATATCCAAAGATATTCTTTAAAAAAAAAGAGTCAAATGACTTGCATGAGATTGTTTGGTGCTTCAGTAGCTGTCGAGCCGGCAGTGGGAGGTGGTTTAGGTGCCCATCAAAGGGGAAGCAGTAAGTGAATGTAGATGCACAGCACAGGATGCCATGCTAGAATAGGAGCTACATACAGCAACATACGTAGAGTGTAAGACCATAGTGCTAAGTGAACGACTAAGACAAGGATTCATATAAAACAAAAATACCTACACACACTAAACAACACTCCATGTTTTATAGGGATGGGTATGTATTCAGAAATGTATATCAAATACATTAGAGCAGCAACTTATGGCAGGCATAGAAATAGTTGTGGGTGTTTGGTGTGGAGGGAATGAGAATAATGAGGGTAGGATCACACACATACACACGCATACAACACACACACACACACAGAAACCTTGTGTGGAACAATGATCACGCGTGTTGTACTGAGGAGTATGAAGAGTAAAACACATTATACTCGACATACCTAAAGTCCTACTTCTTTTAGAGAGATGTGTACTTCAAAGGAAGGCATTGTGGATCGGCTAACAAGTAGGGAAGTCGTTTTCTCATGCAGCCAGTGAATATTTATTCATTTGCTATGTGCTAGGCACTGTTCTGGGTAATATAATGAATGAGACAGAATAGCCTACCTTCTGGTTGGTGATTCTGGTTAGCCCTTCCTGGCATTAGACCCGTAAATTGTTGCATGTATTTAAGATCAACCTTGGGCACAGTCTGTCTGGAGCATGCGAGTATGACTCTGGGCTTGCCCTTTATCTAGGGTGGCTTCTGGGAAAGACTTGAAAACTTATAAGGAAACAGCTGAAGAGGAAGCTCATTATGATCTGAAGTTACTTAACACACACATATCTTCAGCTGTTTTGTTTTCACAAGAGCGATTTTATTCTATATTCATAGTCTCTCCTAATCACACATATTTTTTGAGTCTCTTTGTATGATCTTTCAGAAATCCACATATGGCCGGAGAGCAGATTTTCAACTTAGTGAGTTTTGGTCAAGTTCACTAAAACTGAAATCTTGACTCCATTAATGCTATCTTATTAATGGTTGTCCACCAGGGTCATAAAATGAGTAATAGACATGTAGCTGCTATTAAAGTAATAGACATGTAGCTGCCATTCTATTTTTGTTTCACAGCTATTTATTCCCTATTCAGGAATAATAATGAAGCTGGCAAGGGGTACTGGCTCAAATCCCAACTTTAAAGGGCTATTGTAAAGACAGTCTCAAAATTACCTCTACGCATGTTCCCAAAGATATTCAGCAAATTATTTAATTTCATGGAATTATTTACTCATTCATATATTTCTATTGGGTCCTTCCTATGTGTGTAGCCCTGTTCTAAGGTTGGAGATACAAAGATAAAAGAGACAGAGAGAGACCTTTCCCTCAAAAGCTTGTAATTCAATGATGTCAAAACTTATTTTCCCATGGGAACAAAGTTATGTATGCGTGTCAGGTTCCCAGGCAAACCAACAAAAACTTATTTAATACACAGACTCACTTAACTCTGGTGCTAATATAATTTTATAGAGTTCTAGACAAAAATAGCCATATCTCATAGAAAGAGGAAATTGGATAAAGAAGAATTTCCTTACCTTGGGCTCACGAACAACCCCAAGAAAACGTTTGGAAGGAGTCTGGTTTTTATTTACTCTTCCCTACCCTTCCCTTTTTGCATTGTTCTCTTAAGGTCACCTTCCCAAATGCTGTGTGCTCATATGCTGTTCTCACCCCTCACGGTGGCTCCTCACTTAGGTCGGTGCTGTCTCACATGATGCTCAAGGTTCTACAATTACTCATTTTCCTTCTCCATTTCTTCAACACTCTGATCTTCATAGTTGTGAGAAAAAAAATCTGATTGAATTAATTTGCACAAATTCACATTCCTTCTTCTAACAATAGATCAGTGCACCTGCTCCTTGCTCCCACCCCTTGGGAGATTCTCCAGTATAGATTTTAGGTATTATTTAGAAGGCAATGTATCTTTAATAATTTGAAGTCAACATGTAGCCACTATATTGCTATAGTCCCTTCTTCAGATATCTAAATATGCACTAAGAAATTGTTGTAAGATTTTTGGAAATCTTATCTTGAGACTTATGTGTTGTTTAGAATGAGTGCAGGTAAAATTTTAAGATGAACTATTTTACCCCTGTGTTTTAAAAATACATACATATTAAAAATAGTGATAAAATTGCTCATTAATATTTCCAAACTTAAATGAATATTGATTTTATTAATAAAAAAATTTAAGATACATTTGCATCTACCATAATTGTTGTGATCACGTGAAAAAAAGACTGGGAGGAAAACAGTGCTTAGGTTAGCCAACACTTTTATTTTAAAAATGTGAGCCTTCTTCAGGATTTAACATATTAAAAATTATTTTTTAAAATTGAATTATCTCTAAGATGTCATCACTGTTTATTTTAAAGCAGAGGATATAAGACACGGGTCCTTATTTCTGATCAACTCTAATGAGATAAGAATCTATAAAGCTAGAAGGAAAATGAGTCCGTGACCAAAATGCTTACTCAGTTACTACAGGAGATCAAAAAATATTATGCCATAAAGACAAAGCAATTCTTTTCTTTGAAAAAGATGTCAGGTTTAGAAAATTCTGGGATTTACCTGTAAAGGCACCCTCTGGGACCTGATAGTGATGTTTTTAGGGAAACATTTACATATCAAGGTGGGAAGGACAGGAGGTGGCGTTTTGTGGGCTCCTATGGTGGTTAGGTAGTTCTCAGAAGACGGCACTGGAAATTAGATAATTGCTGATGTCATATTTTTCACAATAAAAAAAATCTGGTGTCCTAAGGGCTATAAAAGCAGCAGCTTCTACCTTTCCATCACAAGCAGAATCGTTGAAACAGGTAAGTGTTTCAGCAAACTTAGGATGTATAGTTTGCTTGTTGTGACACTTCTTGATACTAATTTTTCCCTTTATGTTCTTGTTTTCTTGATACTAGGTTCTTCTTCCCTAACTGCCGATTGCTCAAGTAAGAGTTGTCTTCAATGGCCACCCAGCAGAAATCTACGAGCTTTTCCCTTATGGGGAGTCTGGCTGCCAGCTGCCTTGTTCTCATCGCCCTGTCGGTGCAGGGAGGAGCAGCTGTGCCCATCAGGTCTTACTGCAGCCTTGATGCGTACGACTTCCGGCAGCCCTATATCACCAACTATACCTTCATGCTGGCCAAGGAGGTACTCATCTCAGTCTCTGTCTTTCTTATCTTGTCTACTTGGAGCCCAAGTAGTTCTTACATTTTTCTGCAGCGCATATCTAACATCTTTAAGAACCCATCATTTATCTCTACTGGTAGACCAGAGATCATTTTCTGTCTCTTCACAGACTCTTTGGAGATTGGACTTTATCAGATGACCTTCCATTTTGGCCTTTAAAATACGTACATTGAATTTTACCCTAAAAGGAGCCATGTAGTAGCTCATCTGACTATTCATTTTCCCTGTACTCCTTCGTGCATTACTTTAAACTCATGCAAACATCTGATTTCTTTTCTAAGTCTTCATGGGGATGCTCCTGAGAGAGGGGATAAAGTATATCTCTACTTACAGACTTTTCTTCTATCTTCTTGATATCTAAGAACTTAGTTTTTCCTTCTCTTCCAGGCTAGCTTGGCAGATAACAACACAGACGTCCGTCTCATTGGAAAGAAACTGTTCCATGGAGTCAATGTAAGCCATAGTAGTAATGGGCAGGGCAGTGTGCCGTTCATGGCTACTTGGAGTGGTGGTGATGATGGCTTGGGTCTTCTGGATGTGCCCTAATTATGATCCCTGCTGTTTCACTTTTGTCTGTAGATGAGTGAGCACTGCTATCTGATGAAGCAGGTGCTGAACTTCACCCTTGAAGAAGTGCTGCTCCCCCAGTCTGATAAATTCCAGCCCTATATGCAGGAGGTGGTGGGCTTCCTGACTAGGCTCAGCAACAAGCTTAGCCGATGTGTAAGTTCTTCTCTCAGTTCACCTACGCCTAATTACCTGCCTTCCCTTCTTCTAACATTTAGAGCCCTTTCCCCCCAATCCTTATTGACCTCTCCCCTGCTGGCAATAAGAGGTGCCTCAGCAGCATCACTATAGGAGTCATTTGGAATCAGAGTATTTGTTTTTGCTTAAGTGAGTTACATTTTGAGCTTATGGTGATGAATGGGGTCTAAAAGACAAGTGCATAGATGGCTATTTGTCCCTGGGGAAAGCATCTCAGGGTATGTGAGATGAGAAAGGTATTGGGAGATGTAAGGAAAAACACCTAGATGTGGAGTATTGACTATAATTGATCAGGGAAAGGATGGGAAAGAGGGAATGAGGGAAATGGGAAGGTTTAATGTTCCATGTTGGGTGGGCAAAGACTTATCTTTTTGAAGTCATGGGAAGAGACAAAATCAAAGGTGTGTGAATTCATGCCTCTGAACATCTAAAACTATGAAAACAGTTTAAGTGAAGTGGTCAGAACAAAGGGGACCTAGTACCTAATGAGAAGGGCCTGTTGTTAACACAAGATGTTTTATGTACGTTTCTTGTTCTGAGAATGTGTTTTTGATGAGGTACATGTTTTAATCTTGACAGAATTTGCATAAACCACTCCTCAGTAGGATTTCCCAAAAGTGGAGAGAGGTCCCACATAAGGGAAATGACTGGATTTTGGTGTCCAAGGGAATTCAAGGGCTCAGAAAATTTAGGTCACTGGTGAAATCTAGGTCATTGTGGGCACAAATGCTAAGAAGTTTAATCCCAGGTGAATTGTAACATACCTCAGTTAGGGACTTTGAGGTTCATTAAGTATCAGTACAACAATGTTGAAATCATTACTCTGATTTTCATTCTGCAGCATATTGAAAGTGATGGCCAGCATATCCACAGAAATGTGCAGGAGCTGAAAGACACAGTGAAAGAGGTACGACTAGTACTATTAATGCCGAATCATTACAGAGGAGAGAGAAATGTTTTTCTTTTCTTTCTTGTAACGCCCCTCCTCGACCCCGTCAAGTTATGATTTTTTACTTGATTCTTCTACAGTTAGGTTAATGAGGTGTATATGTATATAGATGTGTCTATATATTTACAAATCACTTGCCAAATTTTACAAGTCGTAGAATTCTAGAACTGTAAGGGAAGTTAGGTTGTCCAATCTCATCCCCATGTTCTGGGGATTGTCAGCGGCTGAGCCAGGGCTAGAATGCAGTTCTGCTGAATCCCGTTCAGGCCAGCACTCTTGCAGCAGCAAGACAGATCAGTTTCAGTATTATTAATTCTTAGGGAAATTTGAGATTCCTACTAGTCCATGTAATATGAAAAGGCACTTGTTCATAAACAGAAAAGAGCCTGGGGGCACATTTATTTGAAGTGATTTTTGAAGCCATTAATTTGATGATTTAAAACTCGGAGAAGTAAACCCAGGACAATCATAACAAAAGAGCTTGACTTGAATATAGGCTGAATTTCTAAAGTGATTGATATTTATATTGAGTTATTATACTATAATACCCAATAGCTATTGATCTGAATTTAAAGCAAACGTGAACAACCCTCAATATTCTTTAAAGTTTCAAATTGAATAAAAATATTCAGAGTAGATTTATTATAGTAGCATGGAAATTTGAACTGGAAATCTTTTCTTTTCCTGTCCCTTTCCCTTCCTTTCTGGTCTCCTCTGCACTGCAATAAATCCTTAGATAGATAGTGAGCATACATCTGGTGCAGGCTAGTGTGTATTTCTACAGTGAATGATACTATCATGTAGCCTATTTGAGGAAAAAAACAACAGTAGAAGGCTCAGACTAGCAGTTGTGACTCATCCCAAAACCAGAGGAATGATTAGTAGCAGCGAAAGTGATGCTGTTACAAGCAGGTACAACCCAACCTCCGAAACATGAAGGCTCTAGTTGATAAAATTTTCAGCAACTAGCATAATCACAACCTCCCACCCCCCTTTTCCATCTTAATTTTTTTGACAAAATGATTTCTTCCTGAGCATGATTTAATGAGCATAATGTTTTTTTTCCTTTGTAGTTTTCACTGAGAAGCTCAATTCTCTTGTCGTAAAACTAATACCTAGGTGTGGAGGGCTGAATATTGGCATGCCATAGCCAAGAATTGCTTTGTTCTTCTGGTTTGAAAAATCTCGATGTTAGCTTTCTTTTCAGTCTTTAGAAAAGTGAAGTATGGCCCTGGCCAGTTTGACTCAGTGGTCAGGATGTCAGCCTATGGACTGGGGGATTGTGGGTTTGATACCTGGGCAAGGGCACATTTCTGCGTTGCAGGTTCGATCCCCGGTCCTGACCGGGGTCTTGCAGGAGGCAACCAATGGATGTGTCTCTCTCACATTGATGTTTCTCTCTCACACTCTCTTCCTTCCTTCCACGCTATCTAAAAATAAATGGAAAAATATCCTCGAGTGAGGAGTAATAAAAAAAAAAGAAGTGTGAGAGAGAAAAATCAGATGGTGCTCTGTGTGAGAAAACAGAGATTTTGACGCTTTTACTCCATTTTGAGAGAATCAACCTTCACATGTGCAATAGGCTGCCACATGGGAAAGTGGTTATACTTTGTTCACCCTGTCACTCCAGAAAGCATAGGCAGAAGAGAGGAATGATGTCCAGAGAAAGCGCAACATTAGGAAAAACTGGTCAGCACTGTCTGAAATGGGTAGGAAGTCATGGAGGTATTAATTTCCTGTCCAGAGGAAAAAGCAGAGAGTAGCTACAGCAGCATGGATGACAAGACAATAGGACAAGATAAACTTTAACATTTTTACACAGATATCTCTTGGCCTTTAATGCAAGGAAAGAGTGGGAAGGTGGAACCGTGAAAGAAAGCAGGAAGAGAAAAGAGAGCAAAGTGTAGAAGACAATGATGTCTTGTGGCTTTTCTTCAAATAATCCAGAGCAAACTTAACAGAGCAGATGAATTTCAGAGGAGGATGCTTTGGACTAGAATTTGGACTCTCTCTTCCATTGGGTTTGAACGTCTCATTTACATACCATTTGGAAAAAGGAGAAAGAAGGAATGTTAGAACCTATATTTGGCGTTCTACTAATTAAAGCAACTGGACAGGACTTATTTATTTTCACAAAAGTGAAAACCTGTTTCTTTACCTTTGTCAAGAAGGTGAAAACAGTATATTTGGTGCATGTGTAGTTTTGATTCAAGGCTATTGTTGTAAATAGTTGATTGGTCATAGACAGTTGTAGGACTATGGGGTAAGACAAGGCAATGGGTGGCACTCTGGGGCCCCCAGCACAGCTCCCATCTGTTTGCTCTGGTTAGGAAGTGGTTTTAAACAACTTCATTAGAATGAGGTACAGCAGAGATGGATGCTCCCTGGTGCCCACTCAGTTCAGAGAGCCATAATTTAAAGGTCTTTCGCAAATCATGTTATGTTCTTGCTAATGGGTATTACTATTAATCTTTTTCAAAAGGCTAAAACTTAGATTCTGTTCTAGCAACCTAACTAAGTCATCTTCTTCTCATTTGTTCCTCTTTTAAAAATGTGGTATAAAGTCTCAAGTATTTGTGTTTTCTTATTTTCACAGCTTGGAGAGAGTGGAGAGATCAAAGCAATTGGAGAACTAGATTTGCTGTTCATGAACCTGAGAAATTCCTGCATTTGATCACAGCAAAGCTGGAAAATGGATAACCCTTCTTGCCTGTTGGAAATAACAATAAGATCCCCAGAGGTTTTCTTTTACCAAAAGGAAAATGGAAAGTCAAACTCCACAATCATGGGTTGATTCTAAATATGTAAACCCCTGCTTAGCTTAAAAAAGAGAACAATGTCACTTGTGTCCATAAGACTAGAAGATAGCCCTTCCAAGCAAAATTAGATTTATTGCTAATGTTTTATTGTAGTTGGCATTTTATACACAGAAATTAATTTTTAAGCAATTGTCTAGTTTTATAAAAAAATTACTTCTCATTCCTTTAAGAAAAACAAACATCCAAATAACTTTCTTTTCATAATTATATATACTTTATATTTATGAATTTATTTATTGTTATAAATACACATTTTATTTATGTCATTTTATTAATATGGATTTATTTATAGAATCATGATATTGCTACTTAAATATAAGGCTAATATTAATATTTATGATAATAATTATGGCTCTGTAATGTTTATTTGAACTCAATAAATACTTTGATATCTTAAGTCTTATGGCTTTGTGACTTTTTTCCTTTAATATTATCATTGTCATTATTGTCATCATCATCACCATCATCATCATCATCACTTCCATTTGCTAAATGAGCCAAGAACCTTATATAAAAGACTTTATTACTGACTCTAAGTAAATGAAGTGGCTGTTAGGATGACCCCTATTTACAGATAAAAAAACTGAATGAGAGCCATGTTAAACACATTGTGTAACTATAAGTAGTTGATCCTTATTGAGCTTGGTATATCTGATTTCTGGGCTCTTGGCTCAATTGCCTATATAGATTTATTATTTTGATTCAGCATGTAATTTGGAAAGAATCCACCTGCATCATTAGCAATTGGTGGATGGAAGAGGGATGCTGCCGGTGGAGAAATAGGCGGCGTCTCCATTGCTGGAGGTGAACTGCCTTAGTTCTAGTTAGAGCCTGCGAGGGAGGGCGCTCCCCAGTTTTCCTGTAAACCAGGAAATAAAGCAAAGGGGAAGCCTCCTGGGTTGGGGGAGCCTACCGGCTGGTGGAGTGTAGCACTCAGACGAGTCTTGTGTGTGGAGATGAGTAAGACGTCATGAGGCACACTGACGAGAGGGTGAAAGTTGCACATCTTCACACTTTGCACAGTGGGACAGAGAAGAGAGCGAAGAGTTTGGGTTAACATTTGGACTCCTTCTATCCAAGAGAATGGACAAAGACACCAGCACTGAAGAATCTATAGGTCTTTCTACAGAAGGTGAAAGTCAGTGGGCAGCTCTAAACTGTTTTCTTTTCCAAAAAATCAGGAACCTTGGGCTTATCCTTCGAATCATTCACCAATTGTTTGCCAAGCTCCCGTGGGATTAGGTCAAGCCTGGTGGTCATTGGTGAGCACGCATAGAAATTGTAGGTTCATTTGTGGATAAAGTAGAACTGATATTTTGGGGTATGGGCTGGGCTTTGAGTTCTGAGAGGTACCAGAACTTCAGGGATGATAGAAGTAAAATTACTTCTGGGATAACTTGAGTTTAGGACCCTTTCCTCTCTTCTTCCAGACAAGTCTCAGTGCAATGCCTTGGGCAAAACTTGATATTATACTTGTTTTTGACCAATCTTCTGGAAATGAAACCATAAATGGAAGAATATTCTTAAAATTGGCTTTATGAATACTTTCATCCTAGGGCAAGGAGTCTGAAATACAGAGATTCAAACCCTCTAAATGCCAATGTGTCCCAGGCTGTGCCAGGATCTTCCTCGATTCTGGAGGGCAGTGCTGACAGATTGGGCCGCTATAAAAGATGGTCCCAATTTCTCGCAGGGAGTCCTGACATAATCATTGGCACCTGTTGTAGCAATGATTTTTCATCACTGGCAGGGGGTGGCATTTGGCTGGTGCTGTCAGCTCTGCTCATGTTCTCAGGTGTCTCCTCCTCCAGCAGTAGATGGCAACATGCAGGTGTTAAAGAAGACTAACCTGGGAGGCTGCGTGAGGCACAGCACCCCGAGATACTAACCGTGATGTAGGGCTGACGAGAAGCCGCTGGAGAGTTTTGAGTGTAGAAAAGACTGGCTATGACTCATGTTCTATAAAGATACTATGGCTGCTGCATAGAGAATAGGTCCAAGGCGTGCGTGTGTGTGGGATGGGAGGTGGGGGTGGGGGAGGGTTAGAACAGAAGAAAGGCCAGAGCAATAGCCCAGAGAGGGAGGATGACTGCACTGCAGTGGATGGGAGTTGAGTCAGAGAAACCTGGTGTGTGACTTACTGTGACACTCAGCTTGGGCTGCTTGGGAAATCAGAGGTATGTAGAGACCATATGCACTAGCAGGAAACGTAATGATTTAGTTTTCCTTCTGGTCTTTCACTATATCATTCGCTAGCATGCAGTGCTTCGTGTGGGAATTAGAGATAGACAGGCGATTTCGTGCTGAGAAGAAGGGAAGATCTGAGTCAAGACGCGTCTGTCCGAAGAGAAGACTGCTGAGATGCTAGGAGTTGGAGGCTGTGGTCCTCACCTCGGAGGCAGCCACAGTGACGGCGACCTGATCTTTGTAAACTCCTTTCCAGGAATGTTTAATTTTGAAAAACAAATGAGATGACTGACCCTGACCTCCAAGAGAAAAGAGCATTACTGCTACACCACGAGGCCAGAGGGACTGTAACTGGCCCAGGGGGATTCGCTGGATTGTTTTCTCAATTTGCTTGATAGTCTCATTAACAGAAAATTACATCAACCTCAAAGAGACAGGACCGTCAAGAACTCCGTTTCCGGAGGCGTGAGGGTTCAACTCACTTTACCAGGTGAAGGACTCCACCCAGTGGAGGTGCAGGCAGAGGTTAAAGGGAAAATGGAATATGGATGATGAAAGAAGGACTTTATGATTATTAATTTAGATCCTGTGAACAGCTATAAAAACAGGAACTACACAGTTCTTGTTAATAAATCATGTGTCTTGTTTTCTCCTCCTCCCTCCTTTTCATGTCTTATATGAGGAATACTCATGGGGGCTAATATTTTAGTTTTCTGGTGGATATATGACCACACTGGCATCATCCTACAGCAGTTGATGAGAGTCTAAGTATTTCCTGTATCGGAGAGATACTTTTTCACCCGAACAAAGACAAGAAAGAATGCGGAAGGCAAAAATGATGCATTGTCCCAATTTGGCCCTCTAGATCCACCTGCTGTTCTTTCCCACTCCACTTTGCCCCCCGAGAGGCTGACATACATGAGTTGCCCCAGATACATGCTTGTTCTCTGGCTTTTGATCGCAGTTGACCAGTGGGAAAGTTAGTAGGTGTTTGAAGAACGAAAATAAGGTCAGAGTAGTCGTTCCTTGGGACCCTTCTGTCAGACTGCCATGCAGGTCAGCTGCATACTTCTTCTGAAAGCTCCCTGTGGACATCCCTCTCCCCTAGAGCTCTCCTTCCTGGTTCTGGAACTTTCTCTCCAGCCTGTTCCCTAACAGGCTGCCAGCTATTGTTAGCTTCAGGGAACCACACTACTTCTTGTAGGGTTCCTTAAACTCTTTCCACACCTTAAAAAAAAAATCCATAAAGTCTTCTCCATTACCCAGTTTGAGTGTAGGGGACATTTTCTGCTGGGATTCTGACCTGTGCATCCCTTTCCTCACTTCCGTCCCCCACCCCTGCCCCAACCACACCCACAGCAGGATGGAGTTGTTATTTTAGCTGAGATCATTTATGTACCACAAATAAAGCCAGTTTTTGACCTATCTGAGTTGTGTGTAAATTTTGACCCAGCAATAAAGCAAAATCAGAAACAATGGTATGATGGTTTTCTAGAATTAAAACATATTCTTTAATTTAAAAAATCCTGTTTCTCCAACAGATTTCTCCGCAGGGAAATAAATGTGCTCGGGTCAACGTGCAGCATCACCTAAAGGAACTAAAGAGCCCTCTTCTCTGCTTTGATCCAGACATCTCTTCCTGTGGCTCTCGCCTGCCCTGCTTCCGAGCCAGGCACATGGAGGAATCTGTGTTTCAGTCTGGCTGCCATAGCTGGGGGATGGGACAGTTATTACACCTGAATAATTCTGACTCCGCTACACCTGTGGTTGCTTCTCTTGTGCGTGGCCCTTCTTTCTCCTTTTTTCCCTCATTACAGCTGCAGAGGATATTCAGGGTGACCCCACATGCTTCTTTTAGTCACGGTCCCTTCCTTACTTCTGTGAGGTGTAAAGGTCTGGGTGGTTCTCTGCACCCCCATACCTTACTTTAGCAACGTGCGCACGTTAACCTCAATACCACCCGGAAATCGACCGGTTGTGTCCTTCCTAGTAGGCATTGCTTCTTTTTGAAACCCGCATGCTGTGAGATGCTTTTATGAGCTGCTGTTTCATCTGTGACTATTTCTTCTTGCCATTGCTGCAGGTGCTGTTTTTAGGCACAATGACTGCCCAGGAACCTTATGAACTTTACACTGCTGCCTGACTCAATGATGCCTTTAGAAATTTCAATTCAATTTAGTTCAGTAAGCAACCATTTAGATCTTAGGGTGTGCAAGATCCTGTGCTAGGGGCTATGGAAACATAAGGCTAGATATGATTTGGATGCTGTCCTCAAGGAGCCTGCAGTCTGGGGAGGAAGATAGGACAACAACTGCTTGGGGCACAAATGAGCTGAACTGTGCTGTGGGAGAGGCACCGAGATGACAATCGTCACTGCAGATGACAACAGGCAGATCCTTTTTTTTTTTTTATCTTCACCCGACCGACCATATTCTGTTCAGATAGAATGGGAGGGAGAGAGGGAGAGAAAGGGGGCGGGGGGGGGGGGAGAGAAACATGGACGTGAAAGGGACACATCGAGTGGTTGCCACCTGCACGACCCAATGAGGGCGGAAGACAAACTGTAACCAAAGTACGTGCCCTTAGCGGGAACCGAACCCGGGTCTCTCTGGACCACAGGCCGACGCTCTAACAGCTGAAGGGCTCATTTGGGCAGATCTTTTGAAGGGTAAGAAGGATTTAAACAAATTCAAATGTCTTCTCCTCTCTGAAAT